TACCATAGAACTTTATTTGGATACAATTAAATACGAAATAATTTAATGTTCGAATTATAATGTGTTCATATTTTTCAGTCTTTATGCTTTAATGCTTGTCAATTTGAGTGCTGCCATTCAATTGAAGTTGGACAGTGACACTGTTGGATCCCAGCTCAGTGGTCTAGAGGTTAAACGCACGCACTCGGGACTGATAGGTCTTGGGTTTAAATCCCGCAGAGGGCGGGATCGTGAATGCGCACTGCTGAAGCGTCCCATACTAGGACGAAACAGCCGTCCAATGCTTCCAGGTTTTCCATAGTGGTCTAGCCTTAATTGGCTCATGATCTCAACCATTGAAATTCAAATAAAATCATCTCAAACCACACTACAATATTTTTTGCTTAGGTGTTTAATTATTTTCTTAACTTATGAGTATGTTTAAAAGACAAAATGTGTAATAAAAGAGAAATTGATAACAGTTACACTTTAAAACTCCTGAATTATTGAACTGAAAATCCCAGTTTGAAAACATGGATGGACATATAAATGTAAACGGAAACTTTATCCTTCTAAATTATTTTAATCTTGATCAGTGATTACGTAACCAAAACATATAAATCATTTTACGCAATCACAAATTCAAACATTTTTTAATTTGACTAATAACTTAAATCTTTTTGTTAAAGTTAATCTAACTACCTATTAATCTGATAAACTGATGAACATAAAGATACATCAGGGAATGGTTAGTGTTGAATGACTTCAAAGGTCATTTATTGATTCACCCATCAACTTTAATCTGTTCTCTTTCAAATCACTTTTGATGATAAATTATTCAGTAATAGCATATTAGCTTTTCTTTGTTTAAAGACAATATTTTCATTCATATAAACACTTTCAGTGGATCATATTTTTTGATTTAACTTTCATAATATTATCACCAAATATACATTCCATCAATTATTCATACAATAGTATAATTTTTGATTGAGATCATGATCCGATTGATGTTAGACCACTGTTGGAAACCTGGAAGCACTGGACGACCGTTTCATTCTGTTGCGGGACTCCTTGGCATTGCGCACTCACGATCCCGCCCGCGAGATTCGAATCCTGGGCCTTCAGTCTCGCGTGAGAACGCTTAACCTACTGTACCACAGAGCCGGTATCCAATGGTATTAGTGTCTAACAAGAACCGTCTAGTACTTCTAGGTTTCCAACGGTGGTCTAACGTCAATCGGTTCATGATTTCAATCAAAAACTTAATAATCTTCACAACCCCTATACTGGAAATAGTTTAATATTAAAGCTGTATATTTCAAAGTATTGACATAAAATGAAAATGTCACTATCCTGCAATATATAGAGAGTCGAGTTCATTTTTCGAAATAAACACTATCCCAATATTGTCTAGTAACTAATTTTTTTTTGTTATTACATCAAAGAAGATTTAAAAATTGTAAATATGCTATCAGAACGTCTAATAATAAACTATTGATTGATATTATTTGATCTGGATCCATTAGATTTATTCTGTGTCCAATTATTTTTTGTTTATTTTATTTGGATTATTATTATTAGCTCTAATCAATAATATTACAGAATAATCAGCACAAAATATTTCAACAGGTTTCCATTTCTTAATTCATTGTCGATCTTAATAACAAATATTGACTGATCACCAATTAGAAGTTAGTAGTCCAGTTAATCGATATCTAAATAAAGTAAATTTTTTTCATTGCATATTACCAGCAACCAAGATATCTCTGATTGAGCCTTTTGTAACTTATATAACAAAGACTTATACATATTTTCAGAAATGCACCTGATTAGGTTATCCGATCAATAGCCATAATGATGTGCTAAAAATAAATAGATACAGTTAATCTGTTGAGCGGAAACAGATAGCATAGATTTTCAAGTAGGCCACCAGTAAAGTGTATATTTACCACCAGTTATATATTACTAGAAAATATATTATTACATCAATAATTAAGTATAGTATTGCTTTTGTCTTATTAAATAAATACATTGTTTTGTATTATTTGTATATAAAGTAAATAGTATATATCAGTTGATGTATTGTTTAAGTTATTAAACCATATTCCAACAAAACAATCATGTATAATAGAACTATTCTGTTGATATATATTTTAATATTTACATGTATCTGTACATTTATAATATTAAAGAAATTTTTTTCTTCTTCAATAGGGTATCTCAGTAATGATAAACAATAATATGAAAACAAGTGTAACCACCTGTGCAAATGTTACATTGATTACATATTACTATTTTTTGTTTATTTCTAATCAAAATATTATTAAAATAAAATATAATATTAGCTACTCATTAGTTGATAGTAATATGTTGCTAAGTAACACTGATTAATAATGTACAGATTTAAATGTCCCAAACACAGTTAGCTCTTATTATTTTAAATTCATATTAAAACTTATACAACATAATCAAGACTGGAATTGATAACTACTTTTAAAAAGAAATTAACTTTAGTTATTATATGGAAAGTTTATAGTAAACTAATGATGATGTATTTATAATATTTTTAATGAGTAGATATTTGAATTTATATTGTTTCGTATCTTAATGTAAACCGCTTCTTCGGAGTTATATATTGTTGAATTGGTTTCGTAAAGAAAACTTTGTTTGAGATTAGTTTATGGTAATTTAATGAAATAGATATACAAGTTGATATATTCAGCACAGTAATAGCTAAAACTAATTATATTGTGACGACGGACCACTAGTAAACTCGAGGAAGCTGTAAGAGACTCAGAAGGAGCCGAAGATATTCCATCCAACCACCTTTCGGAAGAATATTCTAGAATTCTTACGTGTAGCTTCCCGATTGGACAATGCTAATAACCCCCTTGTATGCGAATTGGAGGACTGTAATGATGATTTCGTTTTTACTATAAACTATAAATACCTGACAATTTTATACTATAAATGATACTGTTTGGAATAATATTCTTTTCACTAGTCTTCTGTCTTCTCCTTAAGACTTGGAAGGGTTTTGGCGCGAACGTTTAACCTACCAGTATTGAATCGAATCCCGCGAGCGAGATCGTGGATACGCATTTTTTGGGGAGTCCCACAATAGGATGAAACGACCATCCAGTGCTTCCAGGCTTCCAACGGTTGTCTAACATCGATCGATTTGTGATCTCACTTAAAAGTTTAATAATCTTCACAACCCCTATACTGTTAAAACTATGAATCTATTTAGTTAAAAATTAAAACATCAGGTCAATAAGTACGAATTTAGCCTAACATGAACAACAATAATCGCCTTATCAACAAACTAGTGAGATAATCCATAATTAATGATTTGATTTGTAACAAATCGATTTACTTAAAAGGAAAATAATGCCTTGGTAATTACTGAGAATATTTTGTCGATGTATTAAACTATGATGAATTTCGAGTGTATTTTTTTCTCTTCATTTGATTTTGTAATTCGAATTTTACTCACTAATGTAAAAACAATAAAATTAATTAAACACATTTTGATTGATTAAATGAAAATCAAACGTTTCACTTTACAACATACATGTTAAAGTCTCATAAAGAAATTTAAATAACTTATAATATTGGCTTAATTACGTTTTATACTGTTTTAAATTTATGTTACATAACACAGAATGTGTAAGAACAATAAAAATATTTACAGATTATAATAACATTCAAGTAACATAATATTTCAATTCTCACTGAATAACTTCATCTATAATTGAATGTTAACACGTTTCCATTACATTAAATGTGGTATTCAATTCAATTCAAGTAGATTTCTGATAATGTTGAACTAGGTTATTTATCGTATTATCTATCAAATTGGTATTTCACAATAGAGTTTCATAAATTCTAGAGTTTTCAATACAAGAGCTTTATTCAATTAAGTAATAAATAAGTTCATCTGTTAAAAATAAGTATTCACATTGTTTTTACAATGACATTTACTCATGAATAACAAAACGGACAAAATGGCATAGGAATAAATGGACATAAAAATCTGTCAAAACAATAATAATTTACTTACTTACGCCTATAACTCCTTGTGGGGGAAAATAGGCCGCCCACCACCATTCTCCATCCAACTCTGTCCTGGGTAATGTTTTCCAGTTACTATTCATCCTTTTTATGTCTATTTTCACTTTCTGACGTAGTGTGTTATTTGGCCTTCCTCTTTCCCGTTTCCCTTCAGGATTACACGTTAGCACTTACCTTGTGATGCAGTTTGGTGATTTTTGTAATGTATGTCTCATCCACTTTCAATGAATTTTCCTTTTCAGCTGGAAGTTGGTTTGTCTCCTCCCACAATATGCTGCTGTTGGTGGTGACCGGCCAACGGACATTGAGTATCTTGCATAGGCAACTATTTATAAATACTTGTACACTTTTGATGATGGTTGTGATGGTTTTCCAAGTTTCAGATTCGTAAAGTGAAACTATTTTGACGTTCGTATTAAAGATTATGACTTTGATGTTGGTTGACCGTTGTTGTGAGTTTCATCTGTTCTTTAACTATGAGAATGCGTCCATTGCTTTGCCAATACTCATCTTTACGTCTGAATCAGATCCTCCTTGTCCGTCGATGATGATGTACAGGTACATGTGTATTTCCGCTTCTCCTAGAGTTTTATCATGAAGTGTGATTGTATTGATGTTCTCCGTGTTGTATTTCTGGATCTTACTTATTTTCTTGTGTATGTTGGGGCCTGCCACTGTGGAGGCTTCTGATACACTGGTTGTCCTAACTTACATCTGTTGTTGTGTATTGGATGGATGAGCTTAGTCTCCGTGAAGTCAAAATAGTTTAATTGCATTTAAAGTTATAAAGATATCGCTTAACAATTAATCGCCATAACTTCAAACAAATTATCGATGAGATTATTTAATATACTGGTAATTATGACAAAGATAATTCAATCATATATATATATATATATATATATATATATATATATACAAAAGAAACGAATGTTACTACTTACTTTGCTAGACGTTTAGCAGATGAATAATGTTTAATCACCGTATTTCGTTTCTGTAATTTATCTATGTAATCATAATCTTTGTCATTCAATTTCGTTATACTTGACAGAGTTCGTTGCGGTGTATAATTATATGTAGTTACGTTAATAGTATTATTATTATTATTATTACTAATATTATTAATATTATTGTCTTCAACAATATAATTTTGATTGGGGAAACTACAATTATAACTTTTATTATTTAAATGACTATATGTCATGTCGGATGATTTTGTATTCTTTACAGATTTTAAACGTTGAGCCCATAAAACACCTGTACGTAGTACATTCCATTTTTTATGTAATAAATGAAACGTAGATGGTTTATGCATAGAATCTGATTCATAATTCGTTTGTTTCGACATATTTAGTTGTGTTTTTTTTAATTCTGATTAAAATAAATCAAACCATTAAAATAAAAAGTATGATTATCTATTTAATACAGTTTTCCGGTAATAAATAGTTTAATTTCTATGATTAAAATCAAGATTTAATTCCAGATATGTAGATAATATGTTTCCCATAATATTAGAAAAAAGACAACTATAGTTCTATTCAATGATTATTACATTATATGCACACATATTTATTCAACTGTTCAGAAACAAATACAATATAAATTTGGTGCTACTAAGTATTATGTGTCCGTATACATAGATATGTATACATGTATATATATTGGTGTACAAAGCAGTACATATTCTAGACATATATATATATATATATGTGCAGTACTTTTAGCCTGTTATAGTTATTCATTAACTACTATATATATATATATATATATATATATATATATATATATATATATATATATATATATGACTGTGAACTAGTTTAATAACTTTCAAAATAGCGATTGTTGGTAGGCAGTACAATTTCTTTATGTACCTATCAGTTCCCGTGTTTAGTCAATTAATATTGTAAAATTTACAAGCAAAGAAAATTACAGAAAGAAAAAAATTGATGTATTAAATAAAAAAATTAAAAAAATAAAGAGTTAAAATTATCTGGTATATAACTTAAAGTAAATTTGTTTATCTCATATTATACAAAAGAAAAATATATATTTAGTTGCTAAGGTATTATTAGTTAACCTATGAATTGATTTATGTCATAAACAATATTACGTTGTTTGTTTTTTTTTTTTTTTTTGGTTTATATATTAAAACATGATAAATTAGTCTTCATTATGACACGTGTATAAATATGTCAATCAACAAAATAAAAATAGCAACACAAAAATTTTAATTGCGTACATGAAATTCACAAACACAAATTAGATACATTTATAACTGCCATATAACCTCTTACTATCTAAAGTTCATACACTTACATAATTAATGAATTTAATTTGTTCAGTCTTACAATTAAACGTTCCGTTTAATTATTCTGATAATTAAATAATATCACATGTGTTTTGTGGATATTACAGTAATTTCAATGGAAATTAAACTGTTTATATATTAAACTATACTATTTCTTAAACAATATTCCAAATAAACCCATCTAACATGAATTGTATCTTAATAATGGCATGTGAATCTGCTAATCATTCATCAAGTGAAGAAATTTATAGTCAGAACAATTTAGACACAAAAAAACGGTGTAATACTGTGATGTGTGCTACTTATGCTGACAGATATAAATAATAACAGTATAGGGTTGTTTTTGATTGAGATCATAAACCGATTAATGTTAAACCACTATTGAAAACCTAGAAGTACTGGATAGCTGTTTCATCCAATTGTGAGATTTTTCAGCAGTGCGCATCCACAATTTGGCTCACCGGATGTATGTAACATTGATTGGAAGTGAAATGCTTGTGAGCAGTAAATTGAGAAGATTGAAATGAAGAGAAGAGAGAAGAAAACTGGAAGCAATAAAATTATCAACAGGAATGAAAGAACAATCATGTTTGGAAGATGTGCAAATGATAAATTTAATGTATGGTTTTCATATTTTATGAAGACTCTGTAATTTTGAGCTAAACAATAAAATGGTCTTCCCCATATGTATGTTCGTTCACTTATCATGCATTAATAAATCCAAAAAAGATATTCAAGGTGAGACCATAATTTATAGCCAACCTCTTTGAGCGACGCTAAAGTGACCTTGAGAACGTTCACCTATTGACTAGCACTAAATAGCGGTTATAAAGCAGTATGAGGAATTAGAATTCTGATTTACAGTTAATGGTTAGGGTTAGGAATTAGATTTAGGATTTTTATTACAAATTGATATCAGCTTAAATGCCAAGACGTTATTTAGCCAAATGGATGGGTGAATTTCGCACCAAAATTCATGACCTGTTATCTAATATCTGATTGGTTCGTCCATAAATTATAATCCTGCCATATTCGGAATATAAATAACAATTCTTAGATGCTCATATTCTGTTAACATGGAAAATAAATCAACATGGTATTTAAAATACTGTCATGTATTCATTTAACATAATAAGTAATACTGTTAAATGATTGTTACGGGAATCATAAATATCTCGTAGAATAACTAAATAATCACAGTAGTTATCGTCTATCACATGAAACTGTAGTGAACAAGAACACAAGTAGGGGTAATCGAATTTATTTGAACACACAAATTACAGAATATCTTAGTAAAATATGAGAACCATACAGAACCATACTTCATTTGCAAAATGTCAATCAATTATCTCAAACTTGTCTGTCCCTTCTGCATAATATTAATCGATCGTTTCATACTTTATTGTTCTTTCGTTTCCACATCAATCATTCTCCGTATTTGTTCTCTTTCCTTCGATCTTTTTAATCTTCTGCCGTTAGTCGTATCACTTTTGACTAATGATACATACTACTTATATCTGTCAACATCAGTAGCACACACCACAAAGCTATTAAATGAAAATTTTATGATTATCATGCATTTTTAGGTATTGGTTGTTTTTTATCTTAATTTTCTCATCACTGATGCACTGAATTCATCAAATATCCCAATAAGAAAAATGTTTTATCTGTGGAATCTAATGAACTGTATGAAATTTTAAATGTTTTGATAATGCAGTGTAGGCAAATGTAACAACAAAAGAATGTCCAGTAAATAACATAGAAATGAATTGTAATTTTCTTGCTTTTAGAATGGAGCACAAAACTGGCATCAAGCATTTGAATATTCTGCATAATCTTTTTATGTCATTTAAAAATGTTAAATACTTAAACCCTATTGACTCAGATAAATTCAGTAAAAATTAAAACCTTCCCCATTAACTCGTACTGAAGTGTACGATAACACCGATGAGGATAGGAATAAGGTTCTGGTTATCGCTTTTTAGCGAGTTAGCTTTTTATGGGATGGAATCGCTAACCCCATGCTTAACTCATCGCTTTTATTCGGGCTTGGGATGGACAGTAGATCCCAGAGGAGCTCCGAACGTAGTTATCATTCAGGATAACCAAATGTATTTGAACACAAACTACAAAATCTCTTAGTCGAATCTGGGAACCATACAGTAAATAATTTATTTGTAAAATGTCAATCAATTGTCTCAGACTTCATTGTTCTTTCGTTACCACACTAATCATTCACTGTTCTAGTTCTTTTTTCTTTGATCTTCTTAACCTTCTACCTCCGAACATTTTACTACTCAAATCTGTCGATATCAGTAGCATACACTACAACGGTTCATCTATTCTTAAAACTACTGAATCAGTACACATTATAGCATCAAAAGTATATATTGCCTATTTCTTGATATCACATAGGTATACGAGTATTTCATTGACTATAATTTATTGTAAACGTTTCATGTACTGAATTAATTACTTCTAATGTCATACTGAGTTGAACAGAATTAATTATTTCTTTTTTTTAAAACAGAATCGCATTCACAATTACAATTATAATTATTTGATATACATATGTCAAGATAAAAGAAAGTTAATCAGCTTCTATTTTGATCTGTGATAGAGAGATAGACTTCTATTATTTCCAACTGTTACTTATCATTTATGCATAGCATCTATTTACTTATTTTAAGAAATAATTAACATAATTAACATAATTGATTGTATTCATCTTGATAATTTTTTTGCATAGAATGAGTTTGATTTAATATATTTGGCGAGATTGTAATTTATTGATGAACCAATCAGATATAAGATAACAGGTTATGAATTTTAAAGGGAAATTCATTCAACCATTTGATTTAATAGCGTCTTGGTATTTTAGTGGATGTTAGTTTGTGACAAAAACTCTAAATCTAGTTCTTAACGTACTTACTTACTTACGCCTGTTACTCCCAATGGAGCATAGGCCGTCGACCAGCATTCTCCAACCCACTCTGTCCTGGACCTTCTTTTCTAGTTCCATCCAATTCTTGTTCATTTTTCTCATGTCTAGCTCCATTTCCCGGCGTAATGTATTCTTTGGTCTTCCTCTCCTGCTTCGACCTTGGGGATTCTATGTGAGAGCTTGTCTCGTGACGCAGTTCGGTGCTTTCCTCAATGTGTGTCCTATCCACTTACAGCGCTTCTTCCTGATTTCTTCCTCCACTGAGATCTGATTTGTTCTCTCCCACAGTAGGTTGTTGCTTATAGTGTCTGGCCAGCGGATCTGAAGTATTTTGCGTAGACAACTGTTAATAAACACCTGTATCTTCTGGATGATGGATTTCGTAGTTTTCTAGGTTTCCGCCCCATACAGTAGAACTGTCTTCACATTTGTATTGAAAATTCTGACTTTGGTGTTGACTTGTGGACAATTGTTTTGAGTTCCAGATATTCTTCAGTTGTAAATATGCTGCTCTTGCTTTGTCAATCCGTGCCTTCACATCTGCATCAAATCCACCGTGTTCATCGATGATACTGTCCAAATATGTAAAGGTTTTTACATCATCCAAAGCTTCTCCGTCAATTGTGATTGGATTGTTGCATGCTGTGTTGTATCGAAGAATCTTGCTTTCCCCTTTGTGTATATTGAGACCTATTGCTGCTGAGGCTGCAGCTACACTGGTTGTCTTCTCCTGCATTTGTTGTTGCGTTTGCGATAGAAGAGCCAGATCATCTGCAAAGTCTAGATCATCCAATTGCATCCTAGATGTCCACTGTATCCCGTGCTTCACTTCAGATGTTGATGTCTTCATGATCCAGTTGATCACCAGGCGAAAGAGAAAGGTTGAGAGTAAGCAGCCTTGCCTGACACCGGTCTTTACTTGAAACGACTTGTCAACTGTCCTCCATGCACGATTTTGCAGTTTAATCCATCATAGGAATTCTGTATGATATTGACTATCTTCTGAGGCACACCGTAGTGTTGAAGAAGCTTCCATAGGGTTGTTCTGTCCACGCTATCAAATACTTTTTCGTAGTCAATGAAGTTGATGAGGAGTGATGAATTCCATTCAATTGATTGTTCCACAATGATCCGTAGAGTTGCGATTTGATCTGTGCACGATCTATCCTTACGGAATCCTGCTTGTTGGTCGCGAAGTTGGGTGTCTACGGAGTCCTTCATTCTGTTTAACAATACCCTGTTGAAGAC